ACTCTCCCTATCAAAACTTATGGAGAAGGATTGTTTGGGAGGTTCTCCACTAGTCGGGGCTCTTTTCTTTTTGAAGGTAGGACGTTAGATGTTCCGCAAGTATCTCGTGTAGACGATGTCCTCCAGCTCGTAAGAGGTCGACCGAAACATGGTCCGGTCCCGCAGCCGTGGCTGCCTTTACGGTCTGAATTGCGGCGCGTATTTCAGCAGGTAAAATCCTTGGTAGTATTTCTCCAGTGGGAATAACGGAGTTTGACACGGGTGTTGACGAGCGAAAGAGATTGGTGTAGAATCTCTTCGTGATCGAATCCATCTTTTGTCGGGAAGATGTGCGAGTCCCGTTTTTGGTAATGTTGTCAGCGGAACACAGTAGTCAAAAAGGTCTCTGCGGTACTTTTTTGGACTTTTCCTTCCTTGTGCTGCTTCAGAAGTTTCGATTGCCTGACGAAGATCGTCTTGCAAAGCCGTTCTGCAAATGGTACCGGCTACCAGTTGCTCGAGTTTTTATGCAGTCGGATCCAGCCTCAGTGCTCTCCTCTCTAGCAGATCCCTAGTGACTTTCGAAATTCGCTTCAAGTTCCTTGTTTGGGGCATTTAGGCACTTTCACCATAGGCTCTCAATCCTCTAACAAGTCGTAGTCTTTTGTTGGTCCTCCTCAATGGGCCAGTCACAAGTGATCAGGAGCTCCTCCAATCTGAGCCGTCATATACGACTTCTCTTCTTCCTCTAATCACGGTGGCAGATCTTCTTTTCCAGCTTTCGACTGAATCGCACTTTTGCTCGAAGGAGGCGGTGATCTGAGCCACTACTGAAGGATGGTACCATTGAGACGTCCTGTAAGCGCCATCTTCGGTTGGTGAGAATGTGGTCAATCTCCGCACGAGTCGTACCGTTGGGTGACTCCCATGTTCACCGCGGTTGTTCTTTCTTCATAAAAATGGAATTGCCATGAAAACAGATTGTGAGATTTTGTAACATATCACTGCTCTCTTGAGCATTGCGACTTCAGTGGTCTATAATATTTTCGTTTTCGCTAATGGTTGTTTAACCTACTGCCTTTTTTTCAACAAAAAAAGACCCAGTATGCAGCTTATAGCAATGTAGAAAACTATATGAGACAGATTTCTTTCAAAAAACTTGAGGCGATCATCTGCTAATTTCGAGCTAAATTCCATAATATTTTGTATTGTTATACGATTCTGTAATGCTGGGCATCTATCTAATCTGTCTGTGAGCAGCACAGATTCATGCGGCATTTAGATGACACTCCTGATGAGTTTGCTAAAACTTATCAATAAACACATTCTTCTAGAGTTTGAGACAAAATTTCTCGTAGAGGGAAATTTAGTAACTTATTTTCATTAATTAATAATTTACTATATATTGCATGCATTTGGCGTCCAAAAAATTTTTGGAATGTTAATGATTCTCAGGATAGTCCGAGTTTCAAGAATTGAGAACTAGTAGGATTTAATCTGAATTCTCATCATGATGCTGTGCCCAATGAATTTAGCTGCGGATTTGATTTTGCTAAGTACTACTAGTATAATTGATATGCTCTTTCCTGAAAAGTCTTCTTACTGAAGTTCTGGCACGCTACTTTTATCATAACGTATTTTAACAAATCTCATAGGACAACCAATTGTTGAATCATATATAAATCGTAAACTGAGTCAATTAAAGCGCAAACGATCCTAAAGACTAAAAAAATGCACTTTTCTTTCTACTTTCAATATTTCCGCGACATGAATTAAACCTCTTTAAATTCTATATCCCATTTCTTCTGTGATGCACTATGATAGAGAG